ATTGATTGGTTTTATCAAGTCTAATACAAAATAAGTCTCATGTTCTTGATTAGTATCTTAATCTACTATATTCCCTAATTAACAGTCTATGTTATACCATATAAGTAAGATTTTGTTTAATAGTTATAACATAGTTTAATATTTTTTAAGAATTCAATTTAATTACATTAATAGTGTAAAATTTTGTTACACTATATCAAATCTTAAATTATATATATCAATGATCAATTTTAATTAATTGACAATGTGAATTTTTTTTTTACTAATAATACAGCAAAATCAAACTTATTTTTTAATACCTAATATGATATAAAAGTTCTACATTAATGTTCTATCAAAATTAAATCAATATTGATATTAAATATCATATCTACAACATTGAGATGGTTTTATATCTAACTTCTGATTTGTCTATATGACAAATTTTTTAATAGACAAAGTTTAATGTAGATATTTAATTCAAAGTTAAAATTAAAACATAATGAATTTGTTTGAGTTTGTTATTTTTGGCAGAATAGTTAATAAATTTGTCGAAGTTGAAAAATTGGTTTGTTTCAAAAGTTGTTAAACTAGCTTATTGAATTAGAAATCTTTAATAAAAATTAACTATTGAATTAATTAACAAATATAAAGTTAATAACATAAAAATATGCTTTTGTGGCTTTTTATATAAATTTTATTTTTTATTTTATCTTTAAAAATATATTATTATTAATTATAATTTTAAGTATGCTTAATTAGTGTTAAACCGTTATATTTGTATAGGATTCAATATTTTATCAAAACATTACAATAATATAAATTCTATATAAGGTAAAGGTATAGCATGCTCCAAAAATACGAGGTAGGTAGGGAATTTCGTTAAGGGATTGAAGGTGAAAGTAGAAAAATTATAATAAGTTATAGTTTAAATACTCTTTGAAATAACATTTAAAACAAAAAAAGAAGTTAAAAGTTAGTGAAATAAATTAATTTACTAAGCATCTCTAATAATCAAATAAGTTTAAAAGATATAAAATGATTAAAATCAAGTTTTAAATTAGATGAAACGACTAGCCTAATATATTTTGTGAATATATATTCTTAAAAATCTTCTTACGTTTACTAAAATGATAAACAAAATTTTAATAAAATTAAAAAAAAAATATTAACTTTAATCTTTAGTACTGACAATAAACAATTAAAATTTGTAAATATTTAAAAAAAAAACATCTTTTTTATTATCTTGAAATGTCTACGCATTTGTTCTTGATACCTCGTCGGTGCTTTACGCTGTTTCATAATTTCAGCCATGCGCACATCACAATGTGGAGCAAAATGTCCAAATCTAAAAACACACGTAACTCTCGCCACCCGACGTATATAAATGCTGTGCTACCCAATTCATTAAATCCACATCAATGAATCGTCACAAAAAAAATATAAATATGGTGGCAGAAAGAAACCACTTCACTTCTAACCGAGTGATCTAATCACAGAAAGGAAGATTGGGAATTTTAACCAAAGTGAACTCAAAAGATCAAGAATTTCACCAATTGAACGAAGCTTGACAAAAATTCTCACCCTCTTCTTAGTTTCAAGCTAGAATTTAGAGTAGAAACGAAGGTAAAAGTTAGGAAAGTTACTATTACATTGTAATTGATGGAGGGAAATCCAAAAGTACAGATGTTTTTATTGTCTTTGCTTGTAGGTTTGAGCCTTTTTAGAGTTGGATATTTTCATAAGTTCTGTTACTATTAACTTTGTTTCTCTTTAAATGAATGAGAATTAAAAACAAGATTCATATTGATGTACTCGATTTTTTTGGGGTCTTTTCTGTCAAACGCAAGAGCTCTACTGTTTTCCGACTGTCAAAGTACACCTTATGATATTTAAACAAAGAAAATTTTAAATAATCACAAAACCGAATAGTCAATATTAGTATTTAAAATGTGATCAGTTTTTCCAAAAGGGAATAGTTTTACACCCCATTTTGGTGTATAAAATGGGTGTGAAATGGATAAAAGAAAAAAGAGAAAAAATATAAATATAAATATAAATATGATCCATAGTGTAATAAAAAAACAGAAAAATAGACAAATTGAATAATAAGATTGATGATGGTCTTATACTGAAAACTTTGAGGGTACTCGTGTAATGATAAAAAATAAAAAGTAAAAACTCATCACATGGTTATAAGTCCTCAGCATGAAGCATTAGATGCATATATTTGATATGAAATAATAAAAAGCAATTTTAAAAAAAAATAATAAAACATTATTGTAAAATTAATAAAATAGTCAATTTTTATGAAATTTATGAAGTGAATTATCTAGATATTTTTATATCAGAAGTTCTTTTATACGAAGAGTACTATTATATGGGATAAAAAATATATTAAACTTTATAAAAGTAAGTATGACTTATTTAATAATTTTAAACTTTAAGTTTGGCCTATTATATTTTATAAGTTTAGTTTAACTTCTTTAATTTGTTTTGTTAGTCTTTTTAATTACTTGTTTTGTATTGAAATTTTTAATAAATTATTAAGTATCTTTATAAATAATCTATTAATCATTTAAATAGGTATATCTTTCTAAAAGTCAAAGACTTATATAAGTAATAAAAAAAATTTAATACCTTAAATATTTATAATCCTATTTATCACTTTCAAACAATATATTTGATTTAAATAAGTAAATAATTAAACATGCAGTAAACACAAATATACATAAAAGATAGAACAAATAATAATAAGGCAAAAGATTCTAGCAAGTGACACTTTCTCTCATAAAGTATATCGTAAGTCTATTATCTTATTCTAACAAAAAATATTTGAGTTTATAATTTAAGATTTTATTTATTTTAAAATTTAATTTATTTAATATAATATTATATATTTATATTATAATTTTTATATAAAATTATTCAATATATTATTATAAATTTTATGAGTTTTAAATAAGTCATTCTATCAAATCTAATATATTTTTTCTCATGCTCAAATCTAACATATTCAATTAATTAAATTTTTAAAAAAATTTAAATTAAATATATTACTTAAATAAGTCATATCAAGTTAAATTTAAAAAAAAATTAAACTATAAGTTCTACTAAATAACTTGACCTATTTTCATCTTTTAACTCCCAAGTTTAAGGATCCATGTATTTCACAAAGTAATTATTAATTTATAGAGATATATACATAATTTGTTACACATGTTTTTAAGATAACTCATACGTCTAAGTATTTTTAAATTATTTTTAAACAAAAATAGTTTTAGGAATTAATTTTTTTATCATGTTAAGTGGTCTTTATTATGTGTTTTTTTTAATTCAATGTTCGTTAAAATTTTAAACTTTTATTACTTATTTTTAATTTATTATACTACAAAATAGTTATTATTAATGATTATCATATTTATTTTTTTGAAATTTATTAAATTTTAAAAATGATAATATATTTTAATTTTCTTGTTTAAAAATTCAATTTAATTTATGATATATATGCCGTGAATAAATCCTTAATTATATAACATTTTATTAAGCAATAACAAAAACTTAAAAACAAAAAGAAAGAAAAACCTTTTTAGCGCTTTTTTCTCGAGAGCTAAACGTAATAATTTCTAAAGCAAGTTATATTATAGAGTTAATTTGTTTTAAATAAAAAAACAAATAGTTGTTATAATATTGTTTATATTTAAATAAATTTAACGTCACATATTTCAAAGTCAATCAAATTAAAGGAGCAAATTGGAACGTTTCCGAACCGAATGTGTCCTTTGAAAAAAATTCGTTGAAAATTGAAATGGTCAGAAATGATAGGATTGTCTGTGCATGTTTTATATATTTACTAATGTAATCAAATGACATTTTTCCAAATCTTTAATTTTATATGTTTTGAATTTTTTTTTATCCATTTCTTATGAATTTTTCAATTATTTCATGTGTGTGTATATATATATATATATATATATATAATTTTATTTTTATACTTTTATTCTTTCAAAATCTAATTTTCAAAAGGTTTTAGTTTTCTCTCTAAATTTTTAGTTCAATAACACGGAAAAGTGTATTAGTTTTTTTTCAAATTTGAAAATTATTTTACTATATACATTAATCTTACATAAAAAAAAACGAAAATTATATATATTTACATAATATTGATTAATTATTATCATTAATTTATTGATAAATTTTATTGTCTGTGAATCTTTCGAATACAATTATTTGAATTCCTCTTTCAATTTTTTTATGTTATAATTTTTTTTAAGTGTGAGTTAATGAAAAAAATTAAAATTTAAAATATGAAGAAACAAAAGATCAATAACAAAATACGTCAGATGAATAAAACTATTAATAAAATTATAAAGTAAAATAATTTCAAAAAATCAGAAAAAATATTTTGGAAAGGACTTTTATACCATAGGCAAATAAATAACTTAAAATTATAATTTATACCGTATATTATACAGGTACAAATACTAATTTTAAAAACATGCAACATGTATTAAATAAAAAAAAGATAATACTTTTTGCTTTGTAGATTCAATTGGAATAAGGAAATGGTGCTTCAATATAACAGATATAAAAAGCCTCCGAGCTTAAAAGAACTTATGTATATCTACGTAACCCTCACAAAAATTAATATAAATTAAAATTAAAAATTTGTCAGACAAAAAATCATGTTTTACTCTTCTCAACTATTTTTTTCAGGTTTCATACTGTAAATTGTGAACTATCGATCAATAAGTTTTTGTTATTATTTTAGAAAGATTCAGCTCATAACCAAAGTGGCCATTTTTATTTTTTTTTACAGAAAATGTTAAACTTGATTTTCAGAACCGAGAATAAAAAGTTAAAAATGATATTTGTATAATAAAAAATTATTAATCTAAAATACAAATCATAATAGATATTATATTTTTTAATTATAATTATGATTTTTATATTCTTAGAGCTAAGCTTTTAGCTGAGATTGATAAAATTGTAAATCTTTCAAAATTAATGTGCATGCATACCTTCTCAGATAGTGCATCTTGAACAACGATGATGTCAGTTGTGATAGATGAAATGACCTCTCCAGTTGAGGCCTCAGTATCAAAAAGACTTATATCTTGATTCAACATTGACCTTAAATATGCCATCCTCATCTTTGCAGCTTGACGTTCCCCAGTATGCATCCAACAAGCCACCTCTATGGAGTCAACATAGTCACAAAAATATTGTAAAAATACATATATAATTATAGACCATAAATTGACAAATCAAACGTTATAAAAATATTTTAAGGTTCTGTTAAATCAAAATTTCAAACGATTTTAAACATCTAAAAAAAAGATATTTTAACAAAAAAAATATTTATTACATTGATAATATAAAAATACAATACAAATACTTATTGTTCTTAATTAAAAACTTGGCAACTTTATATGAATTATCCCGATGTTACTGGTTTTTATTATTTTTTCCTAGAATGAAAGAACGAAAGTCATAAAACAAATTCATACCTGTCCAGGATGAAAACAATATTGCTATGCTTAGATACACAAAATCCAAAGAATACTGCAAAATTGCAAACAAGTAATTAATATTAAAATTTGCATACAAATTAAAGAAGAAGAGAGAACCGTACACCTTTAAATTTGAATTTAAGCATTGTCTGATAAGGGTAATTAATAAGCTGATTCCCACTAAATTATACTAGCAATTTCACAAAATTTTGAAGAGGAAGACATATAGAATCAAAGTACCCCAAGTAGATAAAGTGCATGGAAAGAAGACAATACATGAAGCTCTTGTTACAAAACAAAGACAAACCTTGGCAACTTCGTGAGAAGCTTCTTTGGGAAAAAGGTAAGCCAAGCCTATGACATTGATAATCTTTCCAAAGAAGACAAAGAAAACAGGCACAGAAGCTCCATGAACACAAGCCCCAACAGAACCAATAGCCATCAAGACACAATCATACAAGTCAGCAAAGGAGAAGAGCTTGAGCAAAGGAACCTTTCCCTTTCGTCTACTCTCTACTTCTTTCTTCCTCTCCTTTGAGGCATCCGCGGCCAAGACGCCAGAAAATGAACCTCGCTCTGACATGTTGGTGTGAGAACAATAGGAAACAAAGCACTATAAGCTTCAGCAACTGCAAGGGCGTTGCAAACACTTGTGATGAGTTGTAGCAAAGGAAAAAGAAGGGGCTTTGCTCGTTGTGAATGTAATAAGTAACGTGCAGATGGAGAATAGCAAAAGATAAAAAAAAGAGAGGGAGGGGGGGGCAGAGGTCTGGTGGTGGATATGAGTCATAAATTGAAAATATAAGTTGAAAATGATGGGATATTTATTATATTGAAAAATGCTGAGCAGATAAAGAAAAAACATGAAAACTATTAAATAAAATATTTATTACATAAAAGTGTAAAATTATTAACACTTTTTTAACATAAAATATATTAAATACTTTATTAATATTATTTTTAATTAGATAAACAACTTAGTTAAAGACTTATTTTTTACTTAAAATTTATCGCATGAAAATTTATTTATAAATTCTACTGTATACTTTACGAAAACAAGATAAATAAAAGCTTTTTAAATAAATTTTGTAAAAATTCTTTAGTTTAAACATCTGCTAACAAAGATATGTACGGTGTGAGGATAAAGCTACCTAAAATTCATCTAAAAAACCTAAGTATAAAATTGTTCCCAGATTGAATGTATTAAAAGGTTAAGGTACGTAGTTTCAACCTCTTGCGAACTGCGCTGGTGTCAGTGTAAATTATGTTGCCGGGGTTCCCTCTTTCTCTCTCTGCATTAAATTGCTGTGTGAGAGATCAATTCAACTTCACTTTAATAGAAGCTTGTGGAGTCCAATATATGGGAACGGTGATCACTTCGTAATTATACTTAGTAGGGAAGGAAATGACGTGGAAAATGACAAAGGAATATATCAAAGTTACGTTTTGACAATTAAGGCAGTATTTGCGTACATTGTTGTTCGTTTATGCGTTTCAACTTAAATGCTAAGAAATAAATAGCCACTTATTAGTAACGCATAATAATATCATGCATTATCGTACCAAGAGAAGCGTATATCCTTTTGAGTTGGGAACAAAACGTAAATTCTACGTACCAAACAAGTCCAGTCAACATGGTACAAGTTTAAGCTTGATTACGTAAGAAATCGAATTTATTTAACTTTCCTTGGTTTTGATTTACTCTAACTTACAAATTAGTTGCATGAATTTAATCTGTAATAATTGTGTGTGTTGTTCAAGGAGACTTTTTTCAAGGTGAAATTTAAGGGTCCGGTTGATATTATTTTTTAATTATTTAAAATTTAAAATATAATTACAAAAATTATTAAATTAGAAGTGAGTAAATTCACACAATTTTAGTAATTTTTAATAAATAGCTAAAAAAATGTATTAAAAATAATATCTTAAAAGATATATTATTAACATTTTTTAAACTCTAATTTTAATTAAAAATCCATTTTTCTTATTATCAAACACATACAATATACTGATTAATGAGTAGAACCGTCGAATTGCCTTCAAATGCACACTCAACCAACGAAAACATATTCCAGAAAAGTCCACCCGATGAAAAAGAACACGTACAATGCATCATTGATTGAATGTATTAATGAGTAGCATCCGAAAGTCATCATCATCAACAAGAGTAATAAAAGATGAACAAACACCATACATCTTTACTTTGAAACCAAAACACAGAAAAACCTAGAATATATAAATTTGATTTTAGTCCAAATCTCCAAACAAACACCACCCGTACAGCATTGTCTAACCCTCCACGGTCTTATTCCATTTTTGCTTCCTCTACTAACCCCTGATCTCTGATGTCGCATCATCAACCAATCAAGGTTACCAAGCTACCTGGTATCACCCTTGCCTAAGGAGAACCACCATGCCTCAAGCTTCTCTCATTTTTCAATTCTTTTTCTTTTTCAATAAAATAAAGTTAGACATTTATTTGTTGATGTTTGAGCCTAACCCGTGTTTCACTAGGATTTAATCGTGTCAGATAGCAACTTAAAGAGTTTATAAGCAACAGAGTTATGAATCTAAATTATTAAGTTTTTCTAAACAAATTGATCACTAAAGTTATAGTTTATTTTCTATCCCACACTATTGGACAGAAGTATTATATATTAAAAGTTCTACATTGATGCTATAATAACAAATTAAACAGTCAAGGATATATAAATAAATCATTATAAGTCAAGGATATATAAATAACAAATTGGTAAGACATTTTAAATAAACGAGTCTCGTTGATTCTATAATAATAAATTTAAATTGTTCGCATTTTCAATTTAAGATGATATAATAATTGTTGCCAAAGTTTCTTTTTGCAAAATTTATAAGGTATTAAAATCGTCCTAAGAAACTTTGAATTACTATCACTGTAAGAAAATCATTATTATTTAGTGACAGAAAATTTTTAGTTATTGACTAATTTAGAGAATGAATATATTATTAATTAAGATAATTATGTTTTATTTTTTAGCGACCGAAATAGAAATTGATTTTTTTTAAAAATTAGTGACCGATTTATCTACACTATTAGTGACTAATTTAGAGATTAATTTAAATTTTTAAAATATTTATTAATTAATTTAGTGACTGCATTAGTGATCTATTTTTAAAAATCTAGAAATTTAAATATTCAGTAAATATTAGTATCTAATTTAAAAATTAATTTTTAAATAGTAAAATAAAAATAAAATAATAATAGTGACCAACTCAAAGACTATTTTTCTTTAAAAATTAGTGACTAATTTATAATTTATTATACCAAAATTTCATTAATTAATATAGTGACCAATTTAGCAATTGATTTTTTTAGATAATTAGCAACTGATTTATCAATCACTATTAGTGACAAATTTAGAAACTAACAAATGATTTATTAAAATAAAATTAAAAATAACTTTATTAATTATCGTAATAAATAAATTAGTAACTAATTATCTAAGAAATTGCAAAATTAAATTTTTAATTTCATTGTTTATTTAATAATATTTATTATTAAAAAATTTTATTAACAAATACAATATTTATTTTATACTTCATAATTTATATTATTTAAAATAGTTATACAATATTATTTTATTATTTAATAAAATCTCATCGATCTTATTTCTTTCTTTTAAAGAGTCTTAATTTTTCTATTTTTTTATTTTATCAAAACATCAATCTTAAATTTTAATAATAAATTTTTTAATTAGTAAATTATTTCACTTAATAAAAAGTTATATATTAAATTTTTTATTGATATAAATTTTTAAAAAATAATTAAATAAAAATTTTCTTTCAAAAATTATATTATTTTTTATAAAAATATTTATTTCATATTATGTTTAATAAATTATTATGATAAAATGAATGATTTAATATATGCAATTTTAATCGGAAGTAAGACAATTAATTCAACAAAAATAATCAAATAAATATTTAATTAATATAGTACAATGTATCAATCAAATATCTTAATATAATTAATCAATACAATATTAAAGTAATTATCTTTTCTCTATTTTTTAACTAGATAAATGAGTTTTTTTATTTTTTTATTTTAATTTTATTTTTATATTTGTATTATTTAAATATCTAATAAAATAGAACAAAATTATGATTAAAATTAAATAAGTAATACTTTTTATATAGTGAAAAATATATAAAAATTATTATATTTAATTTTTTATTTAAAAAAATTCTTGTTAAATTAAATAATGATTATTTTTAGTTTATACTTTTAGTATTTATATTTTTTCAATGTTTTTTTTATTTGATTTCTCTCTAAATACCTATTTAATAAGCTTAGATAAACAGTCTGCTTTTGTAAACTTCCTTTTATATATATATGATTTATAATATAAACTAAATTTTACTAAAATAAAATTTATATTATAAATATTGTTAAATATTTCAATTTTAAAACACAATTACACTTCTTAAATTATATTCTTGTTTTAAATATAAAATTAAAATAATATACCTATATATCCAAATCAAATTTTGAATTAAAATGTGTAAAGTAATATTGAAAAAAAATGAGTAAATTAAATTAGTTTTATTATTATTTTTAAATATAAATTATAAATTATTTTAGTTTTAACTCATATTATTTTAATATTATCTTAACATTTTCATTTGTTCATATATCCAATAATATAGAACAAATGAAAATCAATCTCTAACGTCGGTCATTAAATCAATGTCTAAAGTCAATTGCTAAATTAGTCTATAAAGTTAGTCACTAAATTAGTCTCTAAAGTCAGTTACTAATTTCATCTCTATAGCTGGTCACTAAATTGGTCTCTAAAGTCGGTCATATTCACAACTAAAGTCAGTCACTAATTCAATCTCTAAAATTTGTCACTAATTTAGTGACTAAAGTTGATCACAAATTCGATTGCTAAATTATCAATCGCTAACCATTAACCACCATACATTTAGCAACCCAACAATATCAGTCAGAAAATTGGTAACTGATTAGTTTAGCATCTGAAATTTTTTTATTAGTGACTAAAAAACCAGTTAAAACTAACTATTTTTCTTGTGTATCTGGATTGAAAGTGAACTTCCATAAGAGTAGCATCATTGGAATTAATGTGGATGATGAATTCCTAACCCAAGCATCTAAGTTCTCCATTATAAAAGGGTTCAGTGCCATTTCATTTCTTAGGGATTCCAATTGGAGCAAGCCTATGCAATATAAACACATGGAAGCCTCTACTTGATGCTTTGAAAGGGAGGTTAAGGTGCTGGAAAAATAGATTTATATCTATTGGAGGTCGGACAATATTGCTAAATTTGATGCGTAATAGTGTCCTAATATACTATCTTTTTTTCTACAAGATGCCAAAAAAGGTGGTTAGAGAGGTGATTAAAATCCAAAGGAACTTGCTTTAGGAAGGGGTGACGAACGTCCACAAAATACCATAGATGAAATGGGATATAGTGTGCAAAAGCAAGAAAATGAGAGGGTTTGGTGTAAAACACGCTAAAAGGTTCAATTGGTCCTTATTGAGCAAATGGCATTGGAAAACTTTGATGTCAAAAAATGCCATTTGGAAGAATCTACTAGCTGCAAGATATGGTCCTTCGTATATGTTGCTAAATTCAAATATGATGCCTAATAATGCCTCCTTGTGGTGGAAAGATGTGACAAGGGTGAAGACGCTAGAGAAACAATGGTTTCATAGGAATATCAAAAAAGTCTTAGGAAATGGTGTTGATATGTTCTTTGGGATTGATGTGTGGCTTGGAACAAACTGCTTAGCCTCTTTATTCCTAAGGTTGTACTCAATTTGTGTAGATAAGAAAGCCAAAGTAGCAGAATATGGAGAGTAGGTTAGTGGGGGGTAGATATGGAATGTTAGCTAGAAGAGGGGCCTAAGAGATTAAGGAGAGAGAATTTTACACTAACCTTTTGTCTATTTTGTAGGGGATTCAACCTATACAACACCAGATTGACCATTGGATATGGTTGGAGGATTCTTTAAATGGTTACTTTGTTAAACAAGGTATATAGTACTTCAGTCCAATATGGCAGAGGAGACCTTTTTATCTAATATGGAATTGTTGGCCGTGTCAAAAATGTGGAAGTCATGGTCCCCACATTAGTTTCAAATCTTCTCATGGCAAGTGATCTTCGATTCATTTGCATAAAAAATAAATCTAATGAGACGCAGGGTGAGACAACTTGAAGAAGATATGTGTGTGTGATCAATTGGATTTTTATAACCTTATTTCCTCTCATTCCTAGCTCATTAATCCTCCTTTGTGCCTAATTGGTTTGAATTGG